CCTTGTTGGCGTAAAGACTTCATTCCAAATCTTTAAAAATTATAACGTGATACTATTTTTAAAAAACTATATATAAAAATCCAAATTAAATTATGACAAGCTTTATCAAAGGATTTTTGGTGTATCAATCTTATTGAGAAGACAATTAATCACAAGAAATTTGCTAGGTATATATAGTATAGTATATGTGTCAGGCTTTCCAAAAGGGAATTAGTCGAGAACCTAAAGTTTCGGTACACAACGACATGTGACTAAGAAATCTAACAATTGGTCAATGACGAACATAGGATCTGTCTTTGTATAATATAAATCTGATTAAGTGGATTCTAATATTGCTTAAATATTTTCTTGTCAAATATGAAAACGTAGACATAACAGAACTAGTTCTTTAGTCATGTATTGTTTAAACGTAGTCATGTGGAATAAGAATGGAAACAATTTGACTATCTCTAATTCTTTAGTATCAATTATCCACTGTGATACCTTGTTTTGAGCTCAAAATTGTACATGCATAGTTTAATATAATACATTTCACCCCTTCATGTTAATCCCAAAAGCCTTTAAAAGCCAAAATAAATCACGGATTGTGCAAAGCATTTCAAGTTTCTAAACAACAATATTTTTATGGTTGACAAGAAAACAATTATTTGTAATGCGAGTCATTTGCTAAATGTTCTCGAAATAACTCGAACCAAGACCTAAACATTTGTTTTACACATAGACGTATGTATTATAGAGAACATTTAGGAAAATACTACTTGTATTCACCATTACATATTTGTTTCCTTCATATATTTATTTTCATGAAAGAGAACATTGTAGAACACTATCACCGTTTGCTTGTAACAAAAAAAAAGCTAATCTCACCTATAAACTCGTGATAACAAATAAAGTCATATTTTTATATATTGCTTTGTATTGTACTCTAACAATAATAAATTAAATAAAAATCTATTTTGGTGACCACAAAAAATAATGTGAGGTTAAAAGCGCGTCTACTGGAAAGTTCACGCGCTCTGCTAACCCCACCGTCCATTCTGACTCTTTAGATCTCAACCGTGTCTTTATCCACATCATACGTTTATACACGTGTCACACGATTATCGATTCTATCAAAAATATTATTTTAATCTTATCCTTTTTTGCTTCCCTATAAATATCTCTCCTTCTTCATTCTCCGATCTCTCCTCCGTCACACAAAAGTTCTGATTACAAAAAAAAAAAAAAATCAATTTGAATTTTGTGAAGAAGGAATATTCTTTTGATTCGTTTTCTCGTATAGAGAGAAAATGGCGCTTAATTTATCGCATCAGCTCGGAGTACTCGCCGGAACTCCGATCAAATCCGGTGAAATGACCGATTCATCGTTATCAATTTCACCACCATCAGCGAGGATGATGACACCTAAAGCAATGAATCGAAACTACAAAGCTCATGGAACAGATCCATCACCACCGATGAGTCCAATTTTAGGGGGGACGCGTGCGGATCTGTCGGTGGCGTGTAAGGCTTTCGCGGTGGAGAATGGAGTCGAAACCATTGAAGAACAGAGAACGTATAAAGAAGGAGGGATTGGTGGAGAAGGAGGAGGAGGTGTTCCTGTGTTTGTGATGATGCCGCTTGATAGTGTTACGATGGGGAACACGGTGAATCGGAGAAAGGCGATGAAAGCGAGTTTGCAAGCGTTGAAGAGTGCTGGTGTTGAAGGGATTATGATTGATGTATGGTGGGGTTTGGTGGAGAAGGAATCTCCGGGAAGTTATAATTGGGGAGGTTATAATGAATTGCTTGAGATGGCTAAGAAGCTTGGACTTAAGGTTCAAGCTGTGATGTCGTTTCATCAGTGTGGTGGTAACGTTGGTGATTCTGTCACGTACGTGATTCTCTCTTAATTCGTGTGTTTGTTAGTATTTTGATAGTCAAGATTGGATTTTTAGGCTAGTTTAGCTTTGGTTTTACAGAGATTAGGAAATTTGAGTGAGGTCTTTAAAGATCTTGAAGAATTTTGGAATTGGAAAGATTAGATTTGAGATTATGATCAATCTTGGAACTGATTGATTGAAGTTTGAGTAGGCAGGATTGTTCATTTTTTTAATTGATTGATGGAGTAACGTGTACGTGACTCTTGATGATACAATATTCGAGAAGAGAGTGATAGGTTCAAGAGTGTAAAAGCCACATCTTTTTCTTTGTTACGTGAGCGTCTCAAATTAAATTCGTCTTTTTCTCCTTACGAAACTCTTAACTTAAGGCCTTTACGTCTCTTTCAAGATTGACTACAAAAGATGGATTCTGTGGTAACGACGTTTCTTTTAGATGGACCTGTGGATTATTTGTTTGTTTTAAATATAGAGTTACTTCATATAGGAGTGAAGATGTCATTGTCTTATCATTCAGTAATGAGGTTTTGTGTGTTTTAATTTGGAAATCTTTTTGTTCTGCAGTATTCCTCTGCCTCAGTGGGTTATTGAAGAGGTTGACAAGGACCCAGACCTTGCGTACACTGATCAGTGGGGAAGAAGGAACTGTGAGTATATATCACTTGGCGCTGATACACTCCCGGTTCTCAAAGGTAGAACTCCCGTGCAATGCTACGCGGATTTCATGCGTGCTTTCAGAGACAACTTCAAGCATCTTCTTGGAGAGACCATTGTGGTATGTTTCCGCTTCTCTTATTCATTTCTTGTTTCATCAAAGAACATGCGTCTTTGACTCTCTCTGTTTCTCTACTCTGTTTGGTTGGAAGTCTGAGTTTGCATTGTTTTTATTTTTTTTCAGGAAATCCAAGTGGGAATGGGACCTGCAGGAGAACTGCGTTACCCTTCGTACCCCGAGCAAGAGGGGACATGGAAGTTCCCAGGGATTGGAGCCTTCCAGTGCTATGATAAGGTAATTTTACCACTAATCACACATGAATAGCCTCTGATTCATTTTGCAAAGAATGTCATACTAAATTGTTTTACTTGCTATGATTGATGTAGTACTCATTAAGCAGCTTGAAAGCAGCAGCTGAGGCTTATGGGAAGCCAGAATGGGGCAGTACTGGCCCAACCGATGCCGGTCACTACAATAACTGGCCAGAAGACACTCAGTTCTTCAAAAAAGAAGGTGGTGGTTGGAACACGGAGTATGGAGATTTCTTCCTCTCATGGTACTCCCAGATGCTGTTAGATCACGGCGAGCGGATCCTATCCTCAGCCAAGTCAATATTCGAAAACACCGGTGTCAAAATATCGGTCAAAATCGCTGGAATCCACTGGCACTATGGGACCCGTTCTCACGCTCCTGAGCTCACAGCAGGATACTACAACACAAGGTTCAGAGATGGGTACCTCCCAATAGCCCAAATGTTAGCCAGACACAACGCCATATTCAACTTCACATGTATCGAGATGAGAGACCACGAGCAACCTCAAGACGCACTTTGTGCACCAGAGAAGCTAGTTAACCAGGTGGCTCTAGCCACGCTGGCTGCAGAAGTTCCTCTAGCTGGTGAAAACGCATTGCCTAGGTACGACGACTACGCGCACGAGCAGATTCTCAAGGCCTCCGTGCTGAACCTTGATCAAAACAACCAGGGAGAACCCCGAGAGATGTGTGCATTTACTTACCTAAGGATGAACCCGGAGTTGTTTCAAGCAGATAACTGGGGGAAATTCGTAGCGTTTGTGAAGAAAATGGTTGAAGGGAGAGACTCCCATAGGTGTTGGGAAGAAGTTGAGCGTGAGACTGAGCATTTTGTGCACGTTACTCAGCCGCTGGTTCAAGAAGTTGCAGTGGCTCTCACTCACTAGAGAGATAGATTGTGGCATGGTTCGACGGTTTATGTTTGTATGCGATTATAATGAAATGGTTTATATGACGATGCCGAAAAAGATGTTTAGGCTTGTTGGAATTTGTGTATGTACTGTTTGTAAAAATGAAATGTATGCCACAGCTCTGGTTTTTTTCTGGTCAGGTTGTGGCATTTCTACTGCTTTTAATATAAGCTAAGAGATGTACAAATTATTTAATGAAGCCAAAAATAAATAGCATTTCTTTGAATACATAGAATTATGAATGAATAAAATAATATGTATCATGTAAACTTGTAACAATGTTGCAATTGCATAGATGCTTTTTTAGTTAAGCTTTGTTGTGTAATTTGTATAATTTACTAATAAGTGAAAAATCATATGTTCTTCATTTAGTGGATGGGTGTAAAATGTAAAACTTAGACCGTAAAATAGCCACCAAAAACCACACACGGGTATTGACGGTATATCCTATAGTTCCACATACAAACAATATGTGGGTCATTTGGATTGTGTACGTTTGTGATTCGGCTCTTTACATGTGGTGACTGGTGAGGTTGTATATGAAACTATCTGCTAAACAATATTTAGACACAAGGCCACAACTAGTCGGAAACAATAGTTACTACTTACTAGTAACTAGTAAGTAACTCTTGTTCACAATATTGCCGACAAAAAAAAAGCAAATATATAAAACCAAGACCTTAATCTCCTACGTTACTCCTGACGAAAAACAAAAAGCACTCTTACATTTACTTTGCCACTAAGAGTAAATTAAGGTAAACCAAAATTAAAAGCTATTACTATCTTTTTTCTCAGTTCTTAATCCATGTTTTCACCAAATTAAAGAACGACTAAATTAGGGAGACAAAGCACTAAGTAATAATTAGGGATTCTTCTAATAAAAGGAAAAGATGAGATATTATACTTAACAAATAATTAAGGACAGATAGAGGAGCCGGATTAATAGGGAAGTTCACGTGAAGGTACAGCTTAAACCAGTTGAGCCAAACACATATACTAAATTCTCATTCTCGCAAACAAAAATCGTGGGACCAATCTAATCGTTTTAATTGATTATGTGGCTGTAAAACAGAAAAACATAAACTATTCATGTGAATAAGATTTTGATTAGGCAACAGTCTTACATTTGTCTCTTCCTCAATATGTTTAATTTGACCCTTGAGCCACTCAAAAACAGGTATGCCTATTATGACATCTACACACATATTATCTCTTTTTTGGAAACCTGTGACAGTAGAAACTGATTAGTAAATAGTAATATGAAAAGAAAATAATTAGTGTAGAGTTATAGAGTATAGAAGAGAGGAATGGGTCCAAATAGTTGATGATGGACCATGTGAAAAAAACAATGAAAGCCCACACCATTAATTGAGGTAAAGGATGAGAATATAGTCTTGTAGTTTTCCATGTCCTTAAACCTAATCTTCTAACACAATTCTCCACCTTCCCTTCTGACATCTCCCATCACTTCTCTCTTAATTTATTCCATTCCACCAAAATTTTAGTTTCACTTTTTTTACTGTAGTGTGTTTTCTGTTTACACATGTGAGTGAGTGAAAAATAAAGCTAGAGAAATTACTGTTTTGAGATGCTCTTTTTAGAAAGGGCCATATATAAATGGTAGTGTAGTAGTACTAGTGGAGCTTCTTCATTCACACTTATGACTTTTCTTCATTGAATGAAGGAGAGGGTCTCTATATCATAAATAAAACAAGAACATAGCTTTCAGAGAGAGATAGAGTGAGATTCTCCTTCATTAACATATTCTTCTACATGTTATAAAAAAAAAGACGAAGAAGTGTCTAAAGGAGTAGAGATGGGTGGATGCACAAGCAAGCAAGAGAGAAGAAGTATGAGAAGTGTGAAGGAGACATCAAAAGACCATAGTAGAGGAAGAAGACCCTTGATAAAAGAGAGAGATGAGAAGGAGAGAGTGATGTTTGATCAACTTAGAGAGGCGGAGAGAGAGTGGAGGAAAGAGAGGAAGAAGCTGAGAGAGGAAGTGAGGAGACTAAGGAAGAAACTAGAGGAAAGAGAGGAAGCAAAGACAACAACATCAGAGGAAAGAGAGTATTGGAAGTGGGTAGTTGAGGAGATGTGTGTAGAGAGAGCAGTGAGAGATGAAGCCATTGAGAAATGGAAACAACTCTATTTAGCTATCAAGAATGAGCTTGATCATCTCATCACCCACACTACTTCTTCCTCCGGTAAAAACATAACTCATTTCAACTTAATTTCAGAAAAAAAAAGTATGGATCTTTAAAGTGTGTGTTTGTAGGAGAAGCAATAATGCAAAGGAAACTTGAGGAACAAGAAGAAGAAGAAAAAGAAGCAAAGAGAGTTGAAGAACTGAGAGATGAAGTTAGAGCTAAAGAAAAGACAATTGAGACACTTCAAGAGAAAATAGTTTTGATGGATAGACAAAAGTATGAGAAAGAAAGAGAGATTGATATATTGAGACAGAGTTTGAGGATTCTTGGAAGCAATAATAAGAAGAAGAAGACAGGATCATTTGCATCAATAAATCTGTTGATACTGAAGACCAAATGTGTCGAATGTACATAAACAAACACTTGTAGTCATATAGTCTTCTGCAACAGTCATATCACTCGTCAGAGAATCTTGATCCACAATGTCATATAATTATATTTATATCTCTTTTTGTTATTTTACACTCTATATGTTGGAAACAGTAAATCATATCACTATGAGTTCAAAAAGCACATGTCCCATTTTAAACAATCACATGATGAAAAAAAAAAAAAAAACAATCACATATACCAAACCGGCGAGTTAAACCGAAATGATTTCTCTTATTTCATTTTCTATGTATTGGTTATTTCAATACGATTTTGGTTTTGATTCAGATACGATTAGTCCCCCCCCATTTGGCACCTTACCAAACCGGGGAGTTGAAAAACCTGAGATTAGAGTCGGAGAAAGCCGCAAACCAAAACTTTTCCAAATTATTATACTAAACGATACCGTTTCACAAATTACCAAAAAAACCCTATTTTTCTGTATCTATCTGAATTCAGAATCTTCCTTCTCACTCTCAAAGTCTTCACTTTTGAAGTGAGTGTCTCTCCACACGCACTGCGCCGCCAAAAAAACCTTCTTTAAACCCTCTTCTCCACGCGCCGCCATGCACGCCACCATCCTCTCCCCACGCGCCACTCTCTTCCCCTGTAAACCTCTCCTCCATCCCCACAATGTCAACTCTCGTAACCGCCCCTCAACCATCTCCTGCTCCGTTCAATCCGTAACCGCTGATCCTTCCCCACCTCTCACTGACTCCAACAAGCTCAACAAATACAGCTCAAGAATCACTGAACCCAAATCCCAAGGTGGGTCTCAAGCAATTCTTCACGGTGTTGGTTTATCAGACGACGATTTGCTAAAACCCCAAATTGGTATCTCGTCGGTTTGGTACGAAGGGAACACTTGTAACATGCATTTGTTGAAATTGTCTGAGGCTGTGAAAGAAGGAGTTGAAAATGCAGGAATGGTTGGGTTTAGGTTTAATACTATTGGTGTGAGTGATGCTATTTCGATGGGAACTAGAGGGATGTGTTTTAGTTTGCAATCTAGGGATTTGATTGCTGATAGTATTGAGACTGTTATGAGTGCTCAATGGTATGATGGTAACATATCTATTCCTGGTTGTGATAAAAATGTAAGCTTTTTTTTTTCGAATCATCGTTCTTTGTGTTGTCTTTATCTCCATGGTTATGTGATTTGTTTGCTATAATGTTGTTTTTGTGCTATTTTTTAGATGCCTGGAACTATTATGGCCATGGGAAGGCTTAACAGACCAGGCATTATGGTTTATGGTGGAACCATTAAGGTACTTTACTTTTATCAAATTGATGAGAAGATAGTTTCTTAAACCCTAAACCCTTGTGACTAGTTGGGTAGCTTATTCACAGAGGTTTGATTTTATTGCAGCCTGGCCATTTTCAAGACAAGACATATGACATAGTATCTGCTTTCCAGGTATCTTTTCTTCTATCTACTACAAGCTTGGTTATAACAATATACTACTCCTTGTTTCTAAATTCTGTTGTTTATTCAATGAGACTTCATTCAGGTTTTCAATTTTGGGATTAAGTTACAAAAATCTTTGTGACTATGGTGTCAAATCGCTCCAGTACTTGTGGGATTCATCATGTTTTTCAATTTTGTATTTCAGAGTTATGGAGAATTTGTTAGTGGCTCTATAAGTGATGAACAAAGAAAGACTGTCCTCCATCATTCATGTCCTGGAGCTGGAGCCTGTGGTGGCATGTACACAGCGAATACAATGGCTTCCGCCATCGAAGCCATGGGAATGTCACTTCCTTACAGGTGAGGCTTCCAACTCTAAAGACCACATTTATGAAGTTATTTTGACAGATTTATACTTAATAGTAAGTTATTTCCACAAGAACATTGGAGATCCTAAACTGTATTTGCCGAAATTTTATAGTTGTTTTTCTTCTTTTTTGAAGTTCTTCAATACCTGCTGAAGACCCATTGAAATTGGACGAGTGTCGCTTAGCTGGAAAATATCTTCTAGAATTGCTAAAGATGGACTTGAAACCACGGGACATTATCACTCCAAAATCACTTCGTAATGCAATGGTTTCCGTCATGGCCCTTGGGGGATCAACAAATGCAGTATTGCATCTAATTGCTATTGCAAGGTGACAGATTAATATGTTTTTCTTATTCTTACCATGGATAGCTATGGACCGAAGTAATGAATGGAAATGATTTCAGGTCTGTTGGTTTGGAGTTGACTCTTGACGATTTTCAGAAGGTCAGCGATGCGGTTCCATTTCTAGCAGATCTTAAACCCAGTGGGAAATATGTTATGGAGGATATACATAAGGTGCGGCTTTGGCTAAATCGTTTTGCTTATTACTTATTTGTTTTCAATTGGTCAGTTTGTAAGTTTTGTTGTTTGATCTTCAGATAGGTGGTACGCCAGCTGTTCTCCGGTATCTATTAGAGCTAGGATTGATGGATGGGGATTGTATGACAGGTAAAAATGCTTAAACATTTTATAAACAGACTTAGCATTTTTTGGGTTGATGTGAAATGGTCACATAACTACGCTGTTGTATCTCCTACCAGTCACAGGGCAGACTTTGGCTCAAAATTTAGAAAACGTCCCCCGCTTAACAGAAGGGCAGGTAGGATTATTTGTAATGTTATTAGTTATCTCATTAGAATTCACCGGCTTTTTCTTCTTGATTATGATGGATGTTAGTTATACAGGTTTCTAATTAATTCTGATAATGTTCCAGGAGATAATTAGACCTCTGTCAAATCCAATCAAGGAGACTGGACACATACAAATTTTGAGAGGAGACCTTGCACCAGATGGTTCTGTAGCAAAAATTACCGGCAAAGAGGGCTTATATTTCTCTGGTAATGTTGGTTCACTCTAATGCCTCCTTTACTCTCCATATTTAGCTAACGCTTCTCAATTTGAGGGCTTATATAATGGAACTCTTTATTTTAGGTCCCGCGCTTGTATTTGAAGGAGAGGAATCTATGCTGGCTGCTATATCAGCAGACCCAATGAGGTTTAAGGTGATTTCCTTTCTGATATGAAGTTAATCTCAAAAGCTGGTTATTTCCTTTTATCTGATGAAATGTATCGTGTTTCAGGGAACAGTGGTTGTTATCAGAGGAGAGGGGCCTAAAGGAGGTCCAGGTATGCCTGAGATGTTGACACCGACAAGTGCAATAATGGGTGCCGGTCTTGGAAAGGTATGACCAGTATGACTGGGTTAGTGAGACATTTACTTAGTCTGATCAATTTTTATGTTCTAAGTTATAGAACTCGTTTTTTCCTTTGTCATGGTCTGACTAATTGAGCAATCCATGCTTATGGTAGTGATCAGATTCATTTTATCTACTTTATCCACATCCGAAAACACACTTCTAGAAAATGACAACATGTTGCTATTGGGTGCTGCAGGAATGTGCATTACTGACTGATGGTAGGTTCTCCGGTGGGTCACACGGTTTTGTTGTTGGCCACATTTGCCCTGAAGCTCAGGTCTCTCTCCCTCTCCCTTTTTCTCTCTTTGTCCACTGGCTCCATCAGAATTTTGCACTTACAAGATAAATTTGATAGATCCATATCCCTCTTCCGGGATATAAAATAAATGCTACTGGGGGTCATAGTCATATTTAGCTTTAGCAAAAAGGAACAATGGTAAAGGGATGCTGTAATAGTTTTTGGCGGTTCTTATGCAATTATGATGATTTCGGAATCTTTCAAATACTAAAACCGATATTAATGTGATTTGAGAATCTGAAGATAATAAAGCTGAAAGCAATTCTCCGGTGTGCTTACTATTTATATCTGCAGGAGGGTGGTCCGATTGGTCTGATAGAGAACGGAGACATAATCACCATTGACATAGGAAAGAAGAGAATAGACACACAAATCTCTCCCGAAGAAATGAATGACCGTAGAAAGAAATGGACTGCTCCTGCATACAAGGTTAACCGAGGAGTTCTATACAAGGTATTATAAATCCACTTGTATGTATATAAATGTATGTCTCTTTGACATCTGTTTAATTAGGTTCTAATGAATGGTCTATGATGTTCTAAAAACAGTACATCAAGAACGTGCAATCGGCTTCAAATGGATGTGTGACCGATGAGTAAGTGAACGATCTAAGAGGGAGTTTTGTGAATGAGCAGCAGAATGTAGTGTGTTCATGAGGGAATTTGTGCGTTTATTTATTGTAGCTTCTTAGATCATGTTACTTTGTGACTGATCATTAGCTATTTGCAGGTTTTTAAGATTTTGTTTCTCTAAACTATCAAAATAAAAACTTTTGATTGTGGCCGAATTCCGAATAAAGACAGAATAAAGACGGATTTGCATAAATACTTGTCTATGAGATTGAATGTGGCAAACTAGCTATGCTTGAATAAGCTTCACGTTCTCTACATGGTTTAGAAAGATGTGGAATCCACTAACCTTAAAGGCTTCGGTTCCTTGGATTTCAACTCTTATCATCGTCTTTCTCTCGATATTGTAGTAGACAACATAAGGGTCATAATCTGGCTGGGAAGGCAAGAACACAATTTCATTTGTATCAATCATACCAGCAAAGTATAAGCCGCCAAGGAGGCAATACGTATATATGCTTGGACCATTCATGTTTTACAGCGTCTTCAAGAATCCGCAACACAAAACGGTCACAGTACTAGCAATATTATATACCATATCGGCAAATATTACACCATTTTTTTTATTACTTTTCAGATCTCATGTCAAAATCTTCCACACATAAAGAAAACAAAAAAGTAAATCCAAACTTTATTACAAGAGTGTTCAAACTTAAAAAAAAAAATCTCCAAAAATAAGCAAAATTTATAGTATTTTGACTTCTCATTTCTTCTCGTTGATGCCAAGAGTGTTCTTGACACCATCAACAGCACCTTGAGCCATGTTCTTCACTGACTCTCCAGTCTATTCACATAAACATTGATATAGATTAACACAGTTTTATAGTCTTACTAATACAATTAGCATTAATGGTTAAGCATTAGTTAATTAAAATTACTTGTTGGATGAAACCAGAGGCTTGTTGTTGGCCGTGTTGGGCAGATTCTTTGGTGGACTGAGCCGCGTTAGCTGTCTTGTCGCGAGC